TTTCTCTTTCCTTGTACGGTTCCTTGCAGGATTGTTTTGGCAAGTCCTGTGGATCTTGTGACATGCCTATACCATTTTAGTTTTCGTCTCTTCACTGTGGTCAGTAGATCTTCATATTGTAGGGATATATTTAGAGAAACATGGATGTTTGTAAGAGGGATACATTTAGAGAAACATGGATGTTTGTAGGGGAATAGGAACACATTGAGAGAAACATGGATAATTTTAGGGAAATAGGGATACACAGGCAGAAAAAAGCATTGTATTGTCGAAAACAAGGAGCCTTTAACTAAGGGACGATTGGACGAAGAAGCATGGTATGCTTTGATGAACATGGATGCAGTGAGGTGGAAGAGGAATACATTGAGGGAATCTGGAATAGCTTTACAGATATGGGGATGTGGATTGTGGACTTCGAAGTTGAGAGCCTGGTCTTGATACCGTGCATTGGGCCAAAGTGTGTGTGTGTGTGTGGGGGGGGGGGGGGGTATTGTCTGATAAAGAGGACACATTGGTAAAAAAAAAAGCAATGTTTGACAGCAACGACTTTAATTTCTTTAACGGACTTCGCAGGCAGAAACAACAATGGATTGAGGGAAATACCGGTGCAGCGAAAGGAATAAAAAAGTGGACGCCTTGAGAGAACCAGGGCCGAATTAATCTAAAAACAGGGGTGGATTGGTCTAAAAAGAGGGGTGGATTAGTGGGAACGAAATCGCATTGAGAAAAAAATAACAACTGTTGTTCAACGCTGTTTCATCGCAGCTGATGACTGACTGACCCTTGTTCTAACGCAAGAACGAGTGAATATTGCCTCTTCCACCCACACCCGTTATCGAATCTCGTACACAGGCGAACACGAGCCCGCCGGAGAGTGAAAAGAGTAGGGAGACTCCAAACCTAATGTGATTACCGCTGTCTGGTTCAATTTCTCCGGCCCAGGAAACTGTGGCTTCGAGAGGCTTACTCGGAAGGGAAGACAGACCGCTCACGCCCCACCTCCACACACGCAATCACACACTTGTATGCATATATATATA